TTAATAACAATTAATAAGAATTAATAACAATTAATAAGAATTAATAACAATTAATAAGAATTAATAACAATTAATAACAATTAATAACAATTAATAACAATTAATAACAATTAATAACACGTAAATTCTCGTCGTGCGATCATATTGAGCGGTGAATAAATATACTAATTGATATGGAATTTTAGAAATAAGTAAAATCAAATTTGAAGAAATGAAGGATGCTTTAAGACATTCATTTCACTAAATAAATTTCATTTTTAAACGTAATAATACGAATATACGAATATTTGGAACTTGTAAATAGCTTCTTTTAAAAAAATAAATACCTGTTTCAACCAAAGTAAAATTTTAAAAAGCTTTAAATCATTATTTAATAGTTCGCTCAAAAAGTTTTTTTTTTTTTCAAAATGATTGTTTAATTTTTTTTGCTGTGCTTCATTGAAGATTGAAGCTGACCAAAGTATTCGCGTTGATTACAGTTCATCACTGCATTATGGCAGATCTTTCATAATTAATGTAATTCATGCTGTGAATGCTAATCGTTATAGCATATGCTTTTCTGCAATTTATACATGCTACGTACACGTATTTCTTTTTGATTTATTTATAGTTATATTGATTGTGAAATATAATTATATATACAGTATTTATATATATACATATATACATATATTTTAACAAGATCAGTAATGAGAATAAACAGAGTTGCGGAGTTGCGGTAAATATTTGTGCCATTTTTTTTTTTTTTTTTTAGGTAGGTAGGTAGGTAGGTATCATATAACGATAATGAGAATTACACTATCGTTATTCAAACAGATTTAGAAAATGAACAAAAAAAATTCATGTTCATTCCAAATAATTATTACTCAGCAGATGATCTCAATCAATAATAGCAGCATTCTTCCTTCATTTTATACCTCATTATAGCAAACCTAAGGTTCTTGTCCTTCATTCTCTTTCGGATTTCAAAATAACACATCAATTACTGGAATGTTCGCTATAAAATTTGGAAATTTCAGCCTCCGTTGATTTACATATGTTCAATAACGATTAAGTAAAAGCCAAACTCATTTTGTCTTTAAGTTATAAATAATATGAACTCTTTATAAACCGGAATTTAGTAAAATTACTATGAGCATGAGTAGCACTAGTATACGTATGTTGAGTGCGTGCGTGCATACGTACACTACATATATACGTACGTACACTACATATATACGTACGTACGTACGTACGTATGTCCTGTACCTACGTGCTTACCCGTTACATAGCCAGTAATATAGATTTAATTGAATAAGGAATTTAATATTCTGAATATAAAAATAACTAAATATAGTAAGTTTTTGTGTCAATTATTCATTGGAATCACATTCACAAAAAAACTTTACTAAACATGCTTTCTTTACATTTTAATAGAACAAGTTACTAATGATTTTGTAGCAAATATCTCAGTGTAAAAAAATATTATCACTGAAATTTAATATTATAATCTTTATTTATTTAATTTTCCGGAAAGGAGCAACATGATTTTTCCGAAAAAAAATTATCATTTTTTTGCCACGTTAAATGAACTATCTAATTTTGTTAATTCTATATTAGTTAGGTTCCAGATCAAGAAATAACTAGTTTTGTGTTGTTTTGTTATAAAATAAATAAAAAAAATGGAGATAAAAAAAAGGAAATTTATATACAAGGAAATTATTGCGTATTTAATTTTTTTTTAGATTTTTGATATCTAAATACACAAGTGTCCTTTAATGAAATTTTAACGAAATTTTAACGAAATTTTAACGATTAATATTATTTTTTTGAATTCTTAAAGTTCCTATTTCAAAAGTTCTCACTAATTCAGTATATTAGATAACGTTGGTCGCAACGGTTCTTTAGGTTTAGGGCCTCGTTTTTTACCAGAACTAACGTAGGTACATTCTTTATTTCTTCTTATGCAGTTCGTGCACCTTTTTTCCTCCCGAACATTTCTCTTTCTTAGCTCGACAATTAGTACATGCTTGTTTTACATAAAGTCTGGTTTTTCTGGTTTCGAGGTCTGGACTCTTCTTAAGTTGGTTGTCTTGACATATATCGCATATAGAAAACTGGTTTACTTGATTATCTTGGGTTGACATGCTAAAGTTGTAAGAATTGAACATCGTTCTATCGGAAAAATAATATTCCATTTCCATTTTGTTATAAATGTTGTCAATGTATTATACAATGTTTTATGATTATAGTGTTTGATCAGAATTATTGAAAGTGAAATGCGAAAAATTTGTGTATTTATATATTTTTTTTTGCATGCGGTTAATTACAAATTAAATCAGATTAAAATTCCGTATTTTCCGACTTAATTTGGATATGTCAATAGTCATTTAAATGTGAAAATGGACAGTAAAAATAAGTAGTGGCTATTACAATAGCAAAATGTTAAAAAAAATATATTTGTGAGTGGAAAATAGGAGATAATACTGTACATATCACATCACATCTTTGCTTTGATAACATTTTTTAGAAACATGAATCGAAAAAATGATAAGTGAAAGTAAATGAAAGTTAACAACCATATAAAATATCAAAAAGGAAAAAAGAATACCGCATGTGTCAATTTTAAATACTTTAATAGAACAAGCTGAATATCGAGGTGGTAAAACTATTTAGGGTCATTTTAACAAGAACATACATAAAATGTGACTTGAATTCAAATACTTAGTATACGGGTAACGATAAAACTTCTTGAGTTACTTTTAATTTTCACAGCCAAAGTTGATTAATTATTTCGGTCTACCTACTTACTTTGACGGGAAGACAGATATCCGAAGCTAAAAAAGGGTACAAAAAAATCCGTTTCCGCGATGATCGCTCGGCATAATTTATGAGTCATCCGGTCCGGACAATCTTAGTCATGTGGTTAAGTTGCCCGTTAAAAATACAATAGGAATTTTAATGGTAAATAAGGAAAGCAACATCTATTTTAAAATAATTATATATGTTATACTACAAAAATAAATACTAAAAGCATATAAATTCAGAATATACAATGCAAGTTAATATAAATTATATTATTTACTTTAATTTTTTTTTTTACAATATATCTGCTCTATGACGTCTGTGAAGATAACACGCTGCGTTCTCTAACAATAGAAACACCCTTGAATTCCGAAATTACCATTAATGTGGACCGCTGCTGCGCCACTTGGATACTTGACTTCGCCAAGATTGATCTGCAGCGTTATTCACTGATGCTTGCATTAAAATTTAATTTATTTTTGCAAAGTTTTAAAATATGCCAAGTATTTAAAATTCATCAAAAACAATAATTCCGGTTTTAAACACCTTTTTTTGGATAATCGGAATATTGAAATCGGATGATTGAATAAGGGTTGAAAATTTTTTTTTATAGAAAACAAAAAAAAATCATGGAGTATATCCAGAAATAGAATTCGAAAAATCCAAAAATCGACTTAAAATTTTTTTAAATCGGATGCAATATAGATTGAAAGCGTGTCTCTAAAAAATTATGTGGAGTTTTCAATTCCGAATTATTAAAAAAAGGAAATTCATTACCAGTATAAATTTTGATTAAATAATAAGATGAAAATAAGATGAAAATAAGAATTTGGTTTCTATACAATAACTAAAAAGACCTCTTAATGTATTATAAG